AATCGCATTTTCATATAGACCGGTGAAAATAACCAAGGATAAAAAGCACGGGTTGTTACATAGTACCCATGGAATAATTCACTGTTATTTTTAATAATACATCATCTTCAAATATATTCTAAAAAATATATATCATATAGATCTTTTGTTGTTTTGTACTGTGGAAGAGATGATTTTACTGCATGCCAAGTTGACTCAATCATGTTGGTATAAACACCAGTTTCGGGGTTCTTGAAGTGTTCTGAATGATTGACATTTATATGCATCTATCCATACTCTTCAAAGTCATCAATTTGGTAAGCTCCCCAACAATCACTATAGATTGTAGCTCCTTTTTCTATATACCTTTCTAAAATTTTTAATAAAGTTTCTTTTGTATAATTAGAGACTGATACCAAGAAGATTTTATTGGATTCTTTTTCGATTCATCTGAAGACCCACTGACCTTCTGCTCATTTTCATTTATGATTTTTTTGCTTACCAAATTTACTTTTATCAATTTTGACAATTTTTCTTAACTACTAATTTTTTATATTTTTGATTCATTAGTGCTACACAACCTATATCGTGGTAGAAGTTATACCAATCTACTATCATTCTAGCACTAACATTAGTCTCACACATGGCAAATATTTGAGGCAACTTATGAGACTAGCAAAATATAATTTTAGCTACTTGATCAAGATTTTATTTAGAATTTTCTAACCACGTTCCTGATTTTATAGATTTAATTTTACCACAGATAGCCTTCAAAGTGCAAATCTATTTTTCTTATCCTTATGAGAAGAATTATTCAATCTACACATAGAGCTACTGCAGTCAATACAGTAATGCACAAGAGAAAAAATATTTAGCTTTTCAAAAAATTCTACAGCTTGTACTGTATCTTGTGTATTAAAATAAATATCACTATAAGTTTTTACTATGATAGACAAAGATTCTATAATTTTAACTTTTTTTTAAAAAAAAAAAATAAGTAATAATTTAAAATTTTATTTTATTTAAAAATAGTGTAGAAAGTCAAACAAAATAAAGGTGGCTCTATACAATAACTCTATATGAGTATTTGATTTGGTAAATCAAACAAGAAAAGGTGGCCTTATATGAGGTATTTTAAATAAGTAAAATAAGAAAAGATAACTCTATGTGGGATATTTTTGAACTAATACAATTTTTGAGATAATATACACTTCTTTTATATTTTTTTGATTAATTTAAAAATTATTTTTACTAATTTTTAATTTATTTTTTAATCTATTAAATTTAGTTTTACAAATTCATTATATATTAAAAAAGTGTACTTTAATTTATTTTTTTTATCTTTACAAGCTTAGAATCTATTGTGTATACTTAGAATTGAATTATTATATACATGCTTATTATGAAATTGCTATGCACATACTTAGGATTGAATTATTATATTATTTTTCGTTAGAATATCTTGAAGAATTGATATATTATAGAAGTATTTTTTAACTTATTTTTTAATATCTACTAAATTTTAGTTTCACAAATTTATTATATATTAAAAAATTGTATTTAAATTTATTTTTTTTTATCTTTACTCTATTGAGTATACTTAGAATCTAGTTATTATTAGAGATAGGTTTCATGTATATGTATGATTCCTCAATCATGCGCATGATTCAAAATCATGCACATTTTATCTTATTTAAATTCTATATAGGAAAATTAAAGTATATTTAATTTAGGCCAAGGTGTATAATATAAGGTAAAATTAAAAAATAGAAATGCAGAAGTTTTGAAAAATTCTGAAAAGAAAATGAATAAACATAAAGATAAGTAGGGTTGGTGAAAAAGCTTTGGCAAATATTTAATATATTCTAGATGAAAAATTTAAAATCAAAAAATTATATCATGTGATATCATGTACATTTTATATAATATATGCATTAATGCATCTTCATGCACATGATATTATAAAATGTGTATTTTTTCTATCTCTAGTTATTATGCATACTTAAAGTCAAATTGTTATGCACATGCTTAGGATCAAATTGTTATGCGCATACTTAGAATCATATTATTATATTATTTTTCATTAGAATATCTTGGCTTTTATTATTTTTCTATATTTTGTTATTTGTGATGTTAGTAAAAATAATAAATTTATTACTTATTTATTAATTAATTTTTGTATTGTTAATTATATATCTACATAATGCATGATAAAGTATATAACAAATATGTTCCCAAACCAATCTCATCAAAATTGATACCCTGATAAAATACTAATCTACTTGTCTATTCCACTATATAAATTTAATACAGTAGTTTATAATGTTTCAAATCTGATGACTTTTCACTACCGATACAAATTGGTCTACTACGTGTATTGATTTTACAGTTAATAAATTCTTAATGATAATTTATTTAATTATTTAATTTATTTATGTATTGCATATTGCTATATTTATTGATATATAATGTTTGTTAAATATATAAAATTTCTATATACCAAATAAAAATATTATACACGTATGTAACATCACGAATAAAATATAAAGGTACTAATATTTTGATTCTATGAATATTTTGCCAAGAATAATGCAAAATTCTGATAATATGGGCAGCCGTCAATAGAAATCAAGCAAATCTACATTTGAAAAAAACCAATGCCTTAAGTTTCATAGCTCATATCTCGATAAATTTTAGAGCTATCTTGATGGCATAATATTCAAAAGAAAGCTTAGATCATAAGCTTTCTTTTGAATATTAAATCATTAAGATAGCTTTAAACTTATCGAGATATGAACTGTGAAAGTTAAGGCATTGGTTTTTTTCAAATGTAGATTTGCTTGATTTCTATTGACGGCTGCCCATATATTTTTTGTCGGGAATGATGCTGAAATTTAGGGCCCCCATTTAAATCTATAATACCTACTAAAATTCACATATACTTTTTTACTAACAACACTACCCTCAAACACTAACTTAACACTAAAAAAACCCCCTAACGAAAAGGCCCAAAATTTTTTAAAAATTTCATAATAAAATAAGTCAAAATTTCAGCATCATCCCCGACATTTTTTCCTCTATAGCTAACTATATTTTTTTTTTTACTTAATTAATATACTTTTAATTTTTTAATAAAAAAAACTTTATTATTTATATTTATACAATATAAAATTATCTTAATAACGAAGAAAAACTTTAACGAATATATAAAATATAGTAAATACATAATAAAAACTGTATATAATTCTTATATAGCGATAGATTATGGATTCTAATTAAATATTTAATTTTAACTTAAGTCATTTTCTAATACCAATTTAAGTGGATTTAGAATCAACTTAAGTTGTTTCTTAATCTAAATATTAATCACTTACCTAACATTAATGAAAGCGTTGTTTTTTTCTATATTTATTGATTTATAATTCCCATAAACTCTTAACTTTACCACAATACCACATATATTTGTAGATTATGACTTAACATAATTAACATCCGGCGCTTGATACATCACAAGACTGCCCAAAAAGACCTACCCACCAACTTGGATTCTTATCAAATAAGCCCATAACAAGCAATAGAATTGCTACGATGAAACCACAAAATGAATACCAAGTATGAAGGATCGAAGGTTGAGTTAAGTCTTTTTCCCCTTTCAGGTGACATAAATATGCTAAAACATTGTTAAATGACCATACAGAACAGATTACTGTGATATATTTGCTTCTACAAAAGTATCCGATTGGCGGTGTATAGTAGGCTAAAAGTAGTGTAATCCAAGGAAAAGTTACTGATAAAAAAGCAGTTAAAAAAACGGTAAAGCTTTTATGACTTCTATCATCCGGATTTACAACCATAGTTATTCTTCTATCTCCAAATTCTACTTTAGGATCTTTGACTACCAGGTTTCCCGAAGATATTCTTCTCCAGAGTGCGGGAATTGTCCAGGACAATAATAATGGTATATATGGCCAATCCTCACAAGCAATTGATCCAGTTGCCCTAGATATTCCTGCCAATACACCGACTATGATATAATACACTGGTATTAATGATGATAATCTTTCTAGAACTGATACTTTTGCTGTGCATCTATTAATGTAATCATCTATGTCTTGACCTCCACTCAGTCTCATAGTATACACTCCGACAGGTCTGTATGGTATTAATCTACCTGCATTATCTTCAAAGTTATTTACTGGAAGCCAAAATAGGTACCGATGTATTTGATTACCTCCTATATTGACAGAGTAGAAAATTCCCATAAATGGACAACCAAGACATCGTAATACCCATATAAGCTTTTTCGTAAATAGATTCTCCGGTGATGCGCCTACTATTGCTATAGCTGGCAAACAACCTAACACATACTGAGGTATGGGTTCTGACAATTTATGCACTAATTGCGAAAAATCTGACATTTTGGTCTAAAATTTAAAAACCCCCAATTTTGACAGTAAGCTCTGTGTAAGTATATGGTACCAGCTTGAATGTCATTATATTTTAAAATTGTACCTATAGTTATTCCTTTGGATGGTATAATGAGTGTTTTTATCTTTTAAAAAAGAATTTCGATAGTATAGATCGGTCGAACTAAATTTTCAGAGATTCCGGCTCAGCCTAAACCTCAATTTTTAATGTTCTGAACAAAAAAAAAAAGCAATAAAAGAAAATTAGGAGGTATGATGTTTGATTTGATCGAACATGTCATAACGTTCATTAGCGAAAAATGGCCTCTTTATATATACATTTTATCATTAATGAAAATACTACGCCGTTTCTATACTAAATAATTCTAATTTCCTTATTTAATAATCATATATTTCTTTCACGAAACATAAATTCGCACATTTCATTTAGATAAAGGCGATATCGGAGTTTTGTTTTTCCACGCATTTTATATATCTAAAATAATATCCTCATTCATATAAATGTAAACGACGCAAATGCAGTACTACATAATGTATGGTATTAGGAAAAAAAAAAGCGATTACTTAGTTTGTCAAATAAATAATTGTTTATGACAATGAGTACAAGTATGTTTAAATTATCTACGTAAATGCCCAAATAGTTTAATGGCTGCGAGAGTTCCGGTCAAAAATCGTATATAGAACTTTCTTTATTTTTTCTCTTTATCATAGAATAACTGTCATTTAAGTAATCGTGAGAATATTTGACTTTCTTTATTAAGGTACGATTATTGCTAGTGCTACCATCTCACAATGCAAAAAATTTGCTCGTTTTATTATGCTTGAAGTTTATTTTCCTTTTTTCTTTATTTCAAATTATAATGCGATGGGGTATCCATATAATAAGGCAGAAAGATAAATAATTTTCTCTGTGGCAAAAGTTACGAGAAAAGATACGGAGATAAGATTCGGCATAATTGTGACATTTTCTCCGTATGCACAATTCTGACAGTACACTTTTCCGGCAGCACATTATTTTCCACTCATCGTTTTTTTTTTACACAGTATTGCAACTAAACAAAATTGCCCAATAAATATCGACACCGTATCGATAAGTTATCAGCATCGCTAGCATCAGAAACTTATGTATTCGGTTTTTTTAGTTATTCCAGGAACCATAAAAATAACTGCAATTAAAAACCACCCATGATCTTGGGATGCAATGGCCGGTAAAGACTACAATTCTTATTCTTGTGGTGCCGCTCACTTTACCGGCAATCATTTTACTGAAACTTCATGAGAAAGTCTACCATTCACGTAATTGTGCACCTACCTGTCCACGTGATAATGCACCTACCGAAGTCGAATTTTTCTTTATTTTGGATGAATATTTCTCAACAACAATAAAAAAAAAATTCGAATAAAATTTGTCAACAAACTAGTAGAACTAAATAAAAAAATTTCACCAAATTCTATCAGATAGTTACCAAAAAATTTTCGTTCAAAGTTCAGAAAAGATTTAGACGCAGTAGCAGAATTTTTTCCTAAATTCGAATAAAAATTCTTCACAACCACTTGACCAAAATCGATATTTGAATTCTACAGATCTGTTGAATTCAAATAAAAAATTTTTTATTGATTTTGGTCAATTGGTCAAGATATCTTCGATAAATGTTTAGAAAATTTATATCACTTAATAATTAATAATAGCTGCGCCAATATTTGCATCAGAACTTCGGCAACTACTTGACTAAAATCAATGAAAAAAATTTTTTTTTTAATTGAATCCTACAATCTGTAGAATTCAAATAAAAAAATTTTATTGATGTTGGTCAAGTGGTCGCGAGATATTCAATCAAATTTTAGAACGTCTCTATTGCTTAAAAATTATCCCAATATTGTACCAGAAATTTGATTGAAGATATCTCGACCAAAATTGATGAATTTATTTTTTATTTAAATTCTTAAATTCTACAGACTATAGAATTCAATTAATAAAAAAATTTATTGAGTTTAGTCAATTGGTCGTCGAGATGACTTTGATGAAAATTTTTAAAAAATTTAAACCGTCTATATACTTAATAATAATTGCGCAGGTATTTGTACCAAAACTTTGAAGGTATCTCGGCAACCACTTGACTAAAATCGATGAAAAAAATTCATCAAATTTGATCAAGTAGTTGCTAAGATATTTTTGATCAAAATTTTAAAAAGGTTAAATACCCTTTTGCAGCACTCATGAATATGGGTCATCCATATAACGTCAAAGTAACATTCGATCATTAGACCAAAAACGATCGGAAATGTCACATGTTTGGTCTCGTGGTGATTCGGACAAAAGCTGTCTCGATACTTACGTTCTTAAAATCAAAATTTTAAAAAAATCGAATTTATCACGGTTTCATTACGTGATAAATCGAATTATCACATAGTTTAAACTTATCATATAAATTGTGGTAACTTCGAATTTATCACAAAAATGTGATATTTTGAAATTTTCATATTTTTCAATTTTCGAATTTCACAATTTCTAAATTTTTTAAAAAATTGCACTTTTGGCCCAAATGGAACGCCATACACCAGATACGAACCCAAAATTTCTGTATCAGTGAATTACGTAAAGTGTTTATTTAGTTTTTAAGGGGTTTATTTCAGAAACTGTAATTATTAATTGGTTCACATTTGTTCTTACATAAGATTATGTAAGGTGATCTTCTATTGTTTTGACGCATTCGCTAGAATTGTACGTACGTGCCTGCGTGAAATGTGGTACTTGTAAAGTTTATGCGCGTTAAAAAAAAAATTAAATATATAAGTCAGTCGAAGTTACTCTTTTAATTGAAACATAACCACACATTGAAGAATATTTCAAATAATTACGCATGTATGAAATTTTTTTTTTTTAAACAAGTTTCAATGTATTAATCTTTAATAATTGTTTTAAATGGCTTGTTGACTCATAATTCTCTTTTATAGCTTTTTTGTTATTCATTATTTTATCTCAAACTAAATGCCACTACCCTCGACAAGTACCGATGATACCAAAAGTGAAGAAACAAACATGATAAACATGGTCTATAATTTTGACTGGTCATCGACTTCACTTGGCCCTGTGGACTTATGGGAACCTGCTATCAAAACCGCCACGGTACTTTAAACACATATACATTTAATTCTATAACGAACTGGCATAAAATTTAAAATTTTAGTTAGCTACAGTGTTAGATATCTAATGTTCTCAATGTTCTCAAAAACATTTAAAAAAATTCGAGAACATTATATTTAAAAATTATGTTCTCTTTTGAGAACCAACCAAGAACATAAAGTTTATAATTTATGTTCTTATATGATATGTAGAAAATATATAATTTCTCTTGTATTTTTATCTTTTTTTTATTTATTTTTATTTTATTTTATTTTTTTTTATCATAAAGAACATTAAAATGGTTATAAGAACATAAATTATCAATTTATGTTCTCAAAGAACTAAAAAAAATTTTCAGATATTCAACACTGGTTAGCTACATTCGAAAGTTCGTTATATAGAGATTCTTTACAAAGAAAATTATCTGCATATTTATATTTTGTGTTTATTTAAAATAAATAAATATAATAATCTTTGTTAATGTAGTGTATGTGCCTCAATTCTACGTTTCCCATCACTCTCGTTCTCAGTCCCCCAGAATGGGTCCAACTATATAATGATGGTAATCTATTTCAGAATTTAGTTTTTTATGAATAATTTACTTTTTTTGTCTATTTAATTATTCAATTTTCTTTAATATCTAATCTACTTGTTTATAGCGTTTGTAGAACTTTTAAAACATTATCATCCATACGGTTAATACAAATTAGTCTCATATATTTATAATCATCTTTACCAAATTAACACTTAAAATTAATAGCATTAGGAAAACCAATGAGAGATTTTTTGCCCAAAACATTAAGTGATATCTATATTAAATATTTAGAAGAGTGAGTTGAGTAATCACTTAAATAAACTTTTATTCGTAATGTCTAAACTTGTATTTAGAGTAAGAACGACTGGAAAAGGAATCTTTAATAAAATTTAATTTTTTGAAGCACCGCGTGTTGGATATACTGAAGAGGCTTATTTTACCATGTCATACAGTCCAATCTTCAAATCAGATGATACAGTCTGTGCTATATTAGCAATTGTACAAGAAATTACTCAAAATGTTATAAATACTAGAAGATTAAAGATACTGAGCGAATTTGGAAAGCGGATTCCTGGTTGGTATTCATGATTATATTGTTTAATTATTAAGTTAGAATATTTTTTGTTAACACATTTATATCATCATATTATTTCCTGAAGAAATTGAATCTTTAGAAAGTGTCTGTCATATTGTGACGGGTGTATTAAGCAATAGTATAGATATTTCTTATGCATTAATTTATTTTGTCGACACAAATTAAATACTAGTTTTGAATCGTTGACTGCCCGTCTAATCTCCACGACCTTTGATAAAGATGGTAAAAATGGAAGGCATATTCCTGATTATTTACCAGAAACACCTGATATAATTTAATTAGCCGAAGATGCTAAAAAGAACTACGACACATGCATAGAACTAAAGCGGGATGCTGAAACCTTTTCATTTTTAAAATGTGAATCTTGGCCAATACACCTTGTAATTAAAGAAGAAAGGCATGTAAAAATTCTTTTAAAAGATGAATCTCGAGCTGTATTATTACCGACAAAGATTTTACTTTGCGGAGGACAAAGTTTATCAGTTGTGTTAATTTGTGGCGTTAATCGACTTAGCACACTCAATAAGAAATATATGGATTTTTTGCAAGTATGAAAAGTTGTATAATTAATGTTCATTTATTTATATATAAGGCCATGCAAAATTAATTAAATGGTTTTCATAACCCGGCCGGGTCAAAATTTGAAAATTTCAAAAA